TACTGATTTTTATATGAAAAGCTTGCACATCCCAGCTGAAGCCCAGATGCTGCATTTATGAGGTATTTTGTCGTGATCAATTTTTAAAAAATATTTTTCCATCCCATGAAATTAATAGGCACCTGGGGAAATACCAACCAGCTCCTCCCCACTCCTGCAAATACTAACCTTTCCCAGATGGGAAGGGAGTTCTCTTTCCTTTTATTTACCTGCAAGATGTCCTTGCTGGTGCTCAGAATCGCAGAGGGAGAAGGAAAAAAATAGGAAGACCTTCGTAAGTGGAAAGCGTTATAAAGAGACCAATTGCACATATTCTGGCTGAGAACGCTGCCTTCTGAGGACCCATTCTATTGAATAAACCCTGCATAATCTTCCCCGGGTCACAGAGTGAGTCATTAGCAAGACGCACTGAGAGAGAGGCATCCTGATTTTTGTAACTACTCTGATTACTTTAAGACCCCGATTTAAAAGGCCATAGGTTTGTGCTGGCAGCACAGTCACACAGATAACTACTCACAGCTTTGCAAATTGGTTTTCTCGCAATCATCTCACTACTACGGGCCTGCAGCCCTTTTTTGTTTTGTCTTTTTTACTTGTTCTGTTCAAAATTACTTGTATTTTTTTCTAGAAAAAACCAAAGCAAGCTGGAGGTGAGTGGGAGCCTCTCTGCCTTCACACACCCACAGCGGGGCTGCCTGCGCCTCTCCGCAGCCCTGAGCACTCAGGCCAACTCTGTGCTCTGAGCCGGGGACCTCCCCTTGGGAGCATGCTCCTGCCCACCAGCATCAAGCACCCTTCATGCACTCATCAGTGATGGATTGTTCTTCAGGAGAGACTTTAGGATGCTTAAAACCAACCAATTGACCTAGGTGAGCATCTGCGGAGAAAAACTGAAATTGCTTTTGTTTCTTTTTCTTGCTACGGTTTTTCCTTGTTGTTGCAGTTCCCTTTCAGAATGGGGAGTCTGTAGGTGGCTGCTTTGGGGTCATCATTAAAGCCAAAGCAGTTTAAAAGCTGCTGTGATGGCTGGTCAGCCTTCGGCTGCCACGTTCCCTCTTTGCTAATGAAGGGAGAGTATTTTTCTTGTACTTATTTTTCTAGCAAATGGTGAGTATTTGTTTTCACAGAATTCTGTGGTGCTTGCACCCACCGCATAGCCCAGCAGAACACGTGGGGAGAGGTGATGTCTGGCTAGACTCCCCCAGCCACCTGGGTAAGCCAAGGCTGGTTCAATATAGACCAAAACAAAAAAGTAACTGTGAAAAATGGTCACTCGACACCTTTTAGACAAATACTGATCTTTTTCTGAACAAAAATATTCCATCATTTGTGTCCTAGATGCATTTTCATGTCACTAAAGTAACTACTTGTGATTTCTCATTAAGACCCTTAATGCCTGCCTGAAAATTTTTCAGGTAGGTGTGCTTCAAAAGGCACTGCCCTTCATGGAGGGCACACCTGTAGCCGTACTGGCTGCCGCCTTCGTGTCAAAGGCACGACCGATTTTAAAGTGGAAAAGCAGCACGGGCCTGCAGCACGTGACAGCTACATGTGCTTGACTTTTCATTGCATATGTAACGACATCCAATGAAAAAAACCCCACATCAGTAAAAAGAAATCTAAATTTGCTTCTGCACTAGAAAAAACACATACTGAGCTATTATAGGTTTGTTTGGGGTTTTCTAGCACCATGTTTCTTTTCCCTTTGAAAGATTTTTTTATTTGTTAGTAAGACACAACTAGGTGCCATTGTATTGTTAGAACATGCACAGTAATTTCAAATGATTAATACCTTGACAACATAATCTCATAACAAATCATTTTTATCCATTATCTAAAATCAACTTTTAATTAAAAGAATACATTATATTTGTTTTCTGATACTAAATTGCCCTGATTTTAAAATTACGTGTGATGTTGGCACATACACGGCATGTGTATTTCTGTTGGGCTTTACTGCCTGCCTGAAATGTGAAGTGCAATTATTAAACATTCGTAAGTACGTAGGAATGTCCTGCTATGTAGGATCTGCAATTAGTTTTGCCAGGAATGATCTCTATCTTTTTGTAGCCTCCATTTTAGAAGGAACACACTATCTTCCTTCAAAATTCTACTGTATTTGCACAGAACTGGTTTGGTTTTGTTGTTCTGGTTTTTACTAACCTTAACAACAAAGGTTTGTAAGAACCAGAGCCCAGCTGGAACCTGGATCAAGTGCCCATAAAGGCTTGTGTGGGTGTGTATTATCTATTTTCGAACTTGGTGCATCTTGTTGGCGCGTCATATGGGCAACCTGGACTGTGCTACGCTCTACCACTGCATGTCAGTTACTTGGCCATTGTATCTGTAACACAAGAGGCTGAAAGTCAATTACCGGCGCTCGCTGTCCCTCAAGAACACGCATGCCAGCGTGCGGCTGCAATGAAAATGGAAGGATGCCCGTGCGCGCTGCTGGCCGCCTCTGCAAGTCCCCTGTCAGGCTGACGAGAGGACGCCTCCGTGCCTTCTGTGCAGAGCTACTAAAGGCAAGCAGAGTTTGTCCTCTGTTGTAACCCCAACAGCAACGCCTCTAAAACTTGGCTTCCCTAATAATGAAATGAGACTCTCAGTACATTGGAATATTTTATTTTGACTTTACATGCGGTGTTAAAAACCCAAAGAACGTATTATTTACACATCCACAATACAAGTTTACAAGATATCTATACATGTTAAAGTACTCTATAGTATAGAGCAGCTTCATTTAAGGGTTACTTTTTTTATGCCGTACCATTAAAAAAGATACAATCTGCGTTTACCTTTGCACAAATGGATAAAGCATCTTTTATTATTAAATTAACAGAATAAGGACTAGGTTGAATGTTAGAAATTTCAACATAAATACTGAGAGAACTCACATTACCATCTACAAGGCAGCACAATGTTACAGGAGGTTATCAGGGTTCACATACATTTATCTTTCGGTTTCACACAAGTCTGTATTAATTAATATTTGTAAAGTGAATTCGGATCAGTTTGTGTCTTTTGACAACTGAGTACATTTTTAATAGTTATTAATCTGTAGTGGTTTAGTTGCAAGACAGAAGTGTTTAGGAAGAGAGATCATTGATTTTTGGATCCAGAGGTCTCAGGAAATAAATGTCCCTTACAGCCTTACAAGAAAAAATGACTACTTCTATCCTTTATTCTTTGTTTTGTAACAGAGATCCAGTTTTCAGTGAATAACCTTTTCTAACATAAATCTCCACCGTCTCTGAAACCCATTGCAGTTATTTTTCCCGCTAATTCATGAATATTCCTCTGCCATGGTTATTTCTATAGTTATGTTCAATAAACAATGTGGTAGTGTGTAGTTTGCAAGCTAAAATAGCCATCTGTGTTGAACATCAGCTGCAAGTGGATACTGTAAAACCTACTAAATAGCTTACACAACTTTAGCAGGTGTTCCATTACCCTAGAAACCTCATTTGATTTCACATTATAACTGTTTGATCCTTCGGAGAGCTGGAGTGGAATGTTTATCATGGTAAGGTGATTTAATGCTGCTGTCTTCTTGGATTGTAGGCTGCCTTTAGTTACCAGTAATTATTCTTGCTTTTTATCTTTTTTTTTTTTTTTGGGGGTGCTGTTGAGAGGTTTTACAACTGGCACTCAGGAGATATGTGCTATAGTGAGAACACTTGACAGATTTATTTTTTTTTTTTTTAGTATGTTTATCATTTGCATGAATAAGGCACAAAATGCACAGATTCAGGTAAACTCACACATAATATTTACAGAATATTGTCATTACCTGCATGACTTTGGAAAAAAACCTTACATTACACAACGAAAACAAATTGATTGCACTACTGTTGAGTTTTCACAGACTGCTTCTGCCAAGCCAATTGTTTCTTCTTTGTTATTGACAAGAGTCTATCAGCGTGTAGGGCGTTATTAAATGCAACAAAAACGTAACCATCTCCAGTTACACAGGCCTTTGCCAAGTGAATTGATCATTAGCTGCCCTCAATGAGAAGTACAGGGGCTCAAGTTCACAGTGTCCAGGTATTGGATGGAGGCACTGTGGAAACACAGTGAACTCCCCCGTTCCAGCCCAAAACACTAGATGGGAAATGCACAGCTCTGAATCAATAGCAGCACAACAGAGTTATGAAGAATTAAAGATATCTGCACGCTTTCACTGGGTGACTATTTCATCAAGGCGTTACCATTCAGGAGGCTGGCAGGGACGCGCAGGTCATCCTTTGTGGGCTCCAAACTGAACCCCACGGACTGCAGAAGGCAGAATCATCTGTTTGTTCAGTCATGCTCAATGTAAACAATTCCATAGCATAAAAGATGCAATGGGAATCTAAGTACATCCTAGTGTGTACAGTACACACGCACATCCACACACACGCACAGCTTTATCTGTGGCACAAACAAAATGCCACACACGGAGAGAAAAGAATAATAATAATGCTACAGTTGGGCCAGAGACTGAATTCCAGCAAATTGATTATTAACCCAGATATTCATTGAGACATTACCATGTTCTGACATTTGTGCAAGAGGCAAGGTGAATGCATACATATTAAAATGTTCACATTTAATGGGAAGGACCACGCTTAACGGCAGTCTAAAATGGAACCCATTTTTCAAGTATTTGCTTACTGATTTATTCCCAATAACTTTTTTTTTAGCTATTTAGAACAGTAAAGTAGCCCCCACCCCATTGTGCTACATGTCTCCTTAGCTCCAAACAAAAGAAATGTAATGACCAGCACTTTCCTTTGTTTTTTTTTTTTTTTTTGTGTGTGTTTGCTCTTAGCAAGTACACAAAGTCTCACTAGAGCTACACGTGGCAAGACACAGATGTTGCTGAAGTAAAGACAGTTTCTTTGGCCACTTTGTTCTCTTTTTAATAACAAGCGAGTCTCTGTCTTATGTGTCTACCACACCACCACCTCACAACCTGTACAGGTCAATGCCACACTCGGTTTTAGCACAGCCATGTCCTAGTAACTGTATTTGTTCAGTGGTCTGACTGAAGTTGTCTGAGGAACGAATGAGGGTTTTGGTGGCACGTCGGGTTTTAGGGAGGGTGTCCTCTTTATTCCTGTACGAGGAAGGGTTCCGTTGCTCGTGTAACTGCTTTGCCTGGACAAGGAAGGCTGGAGGTGAACGCTGACAGGCGTCCCTTGCATGTAGTCCATCTTTGTGCCTGCTGTGGGAGGAATGTACCCCCCACGATTAATACTAGGCTGTCTGGATAACAAAACACCATTTGGTGAGTTTAAGTTTTTAGGAAGGGCAGATATTGAATGCCTTTGTGAAGAATTTTTGTGATAACCTCTCTGCCTTTCCAAAGAGGTCATTGGTACTGCAGGCGTGCTGGGAACGTCCACTCGTTTTGTGGGGCTGTTCCTTGGAAGAGTTGATGGAGGAGAGTATAAAGATGCCTCCCTGTTGGGAACCTTAGGTGGGATCTCAGACATATTTCCCATTGGATCCAGCATTAAAGTCTGGTGGGCCACTTGAATATCTCCCATAATTGCTTTGGGATTACTAGTAGTTTCATTTAAGTGTTTCAGAAAATCATTCAGGGTGTTCCTGGAATCAACAGATCTCCTGTGGTCTCTTTTGCTGGATGGTTTTGTAAGCGGATGATCAATATGTTGCATCTTTTTGTCTGCCTTGTGCGCATTAGAATTTGAGAAAGATGTATTGTAATCATGGGTAGCATTGGGAAGAACGATAGCACTAGGAATATGTCCGTGACTTAGAGGCGAGTGGGGCGGAGGACTGGAAGGAAAAAACTGAGGGCTTTTTAGTGGGGTTTCCTTTCGCGAAGCATTGAGGTTACTATGCGCTTTGTCCGACTGACTTTTCATAGCCTGCAGAGTCTTCTGTTGAAGAACCGGTGTAGATTCAGGAGTTGGAAGCGCAGCTAATTCCGGAGGCTGGCCCCTGTGGTCCACCATCATGGACTTTGTATCACCGTTTGGTGGCAATTCCTTTCTGCTAGTCAACAGGTTTGTGTAAAGTTTGGGTGAATCAATGTTTTGTTGATACTCCTTGACGGGACTATCAAACAGCCCATTCAGTTTAGCAAAGCTCCCACTGGAGTCAGTGCAGGACTGAGCCGATTCTGCATCTTTGTGTATTTTCCTGGATTTCCGTACAAATATATCCCGGTAACAGTAAACGGCCACTCCCGCAATAAAGGCTCCCAGGACAAAAGCGGCAAAGACACAAGTGATTAGGACATTCATATGTACCATTTGGTTGGACTCTCCTGATTGTACTTCCCACCTTACACCTGCAAAAGACAGGCAGTATATCATGAATCTGCACGTACTCCATACTGACACATTTCAGAAGAAGGCAGCCTCCCTCAGGAAGTGTCTATTAAGTGTTTGTGAGTGAGTGCTGTGTGTCTCGTGTTAGTGTAACACTTTTGGATCCTGCAATCCACAGCATGGGTGAATGCAAATAATTTTATAACTAAAAATGACTGTGTGAGCACTGATGAGCCTACATGCGGACTGTCCCTTTTCTTTGATAATGAGGAATGCTTGTTGAAGCTTCTCTCCTCTTATTACGTTCAGTTTAGCCTGTCCCCACATTCCTTTAAGGCTCACAAATAGGGGCCTGTATGTTATTAACATTAATGATTTCTGCTAGAAAATTGAGGTTAGAAGGTGCTACTGGGCCAGACACCAATTAATAACTCACAGACAGATTTCTCTCTCAATTCTCTGCCCAACTCATAAATCAGTATCAAAAGAGAGACAGGATTATGCAAATGATGTGTAAAACTGTATAATGTACAGACTGCATTGTTGTAACTACATTAATGTATTATGGTGCAAAACTTGTAAACTAAACTAATATATCCATAGGTTGCTAGCCTTGGAGCGGCACACCTTGCATTCTGTAAGTAAGTGGTCAATTTTTGAAGTTCAAGATTATGTCATTCTATTAGAGCACTAATTTTTCTTTTCTCTTTTTTAGTCAATAATGAACATAAATACTTGCATAACATAAAAAAAAAAAACAACCCAAAAAACTGGCAAGGTTAAGTTATTAGAGAATGTTAAAATTTAGAAAACTTCTACCTTAGACCGAGAAGTCGAATATTAGATTAGTTTTTTGTTTGTGTATTAAGAAGCTCCCTTTGTTTTTTTGAGATTTTTAAAGCAACCACAGACATCTTGCAGCTAAGACAATGTTAGTTTTTAGTGAAAGTAATTCTGTTAACTATCATCCCAAGGGATGTTAAAATGGAAGAGCAAGAGGGAAGGAACAGATTCACTTTTGTTAGAGGCAAGGCCTTTGAACATTGTTAATGTTCAGGGTTATAGGTTTTAATGGCACTGTGTAGAAGAAGAAAGAAAACATGAGTAAAGTTCACTAATAGCTATGACACAAAATGTGTTTCAGAACCAAGAGCAAATGATAACAAAAGCTTAAAGCAAAATGGAAAATAACTGCAACAAATTAAAATGACAAATGCACTGCCATAACGGCTGATAGGAAACCTGATATGTTTTGGTGAATGGTAATAAAACACAAATGGTTTTTGGCTGGTGAGGTTTTCAGTAAATACAGAATTGTGCAAACATGTCTGTCACCTGGCTGTTCTGTGTACTGATGAAGGCTTGTGTTAAGTTTTGGTTATGGGATCGGAAGCTTCTCGATTCTTCTGTTAACTGCAATAGTCCTACTGAATTAAAGTCTTTGTTGCCGGAAGAGCCTAATCAAACGCTCACTTAGCTGACAGAATGGCTACAGAAAGATGGATTACATGCAGAATATGTTTCTTTTTATGTTCGACTTAAAACCTGTGTGCGTCTCTCCAGGTACTGAGATCATCTGTAAACTGATGCTCACATCCAGAGAAGAAAAATTCAGCATATCCTTACTCAGATCTGACCCGCATTCTTTAGAAATATGCTGCCAGCAGGCAGAGTTTGGGATATGCCCCATTTAACGCATGGATCTGTCGGGGAGCTGTGCTTTGGTTTTTTGTTATGTGTCGGTTCTCCCACTCCCTGCCGGCCCCCCTGCCCCCCCCCAAAAAAGAACCAACCCAAAACCAAAAAACCAACCCATTAAGTTCTTGTAAGCAACCACTCCTAAGGACTCATAGTCCTACCCAAACTAGACTGGTTTGAAAACAGCCACCAGAGGTGCAGGTAAGTCTTGAATGTAATTTTTTTAAATGCTTCCAGGACTCCCACTGATTTTAATGGGAGCTTTGGAGCACCCCAGGAATAAAAGGCTGAGCTTATTATCTGTGTTTCCCATTATAAGCTCTAAGCAGCACTTTGTACACAGCGTAAGTACGTATGAAAAACATGATTGCACTGTCTGCATATTCACAGGAAATGGGTGTAAAATACAGCCCAACAATCATGGCTGTTACATTTAAGCCTTAGACAATGCTGAGACTATCAGGTTTCCATTCAGCTGCAATGTATTCCCTGGTAAGGCCTTACCCTTTGGGACACCTGATAATGGATCAGAATAATCAGAAGTGTTTGGGTCATCTTGAACTACAAATTTCCGAGAGCCAGTCACTTTAGGTTTCCAGGAACCAATCACTTTAGGTGATATAACTGGGATACTTGCCATTGTGGTAATGGAAGATGAGGAGAACTCCATGTCTGTGGTGGCAAACAGATTTTTATTAATGTGTATTACAGTCAGGCTTTCCTCACTGTTTCATGGCACATCTAAGCTATAGCTGGAGACAGTATTTAATGGGAGTTACATGTAAGAGCAAAATGTGACCCCCTACACTCCGCAGAAGTACAGAGGGCTGTTTAAAATCAACTGGTTCAAAACTTTAAGTACGAAAAGATATATTAAAACATCAACAGCTGCTAGCCAAAAAGCCAGAGAAGTCAAACACGAAAGCAGCGCAACAGTTAAAGTAAGCAACTGGTGGAGGTGAAAAGCACAACTTATTCTACTTAATTGCTATATTCTTCACTGGAGACAACATACCTGGCTGCCTTTTAAATGTCTTAAAAAAAAAAAAGTTACTTGGAAAGATGCACACTCATGACAGGTTACGCCTGAGAAACCAGATTGGCTCCATTAGTGCTATTATGGTATACCAGGAACTGCTGAATGAGCCACTTCTACAGCTGGGGATGAAAGGAATGTTTTTAACCTCTATTTTGTAATGGTTCCTAAGGAACAATGTTGCATAGGTTCTGGCTCCTCTGCAGTACATTTGCTGAACAGACCCACCATAGCCTATGTGAAAAGGCACATGAGGAGGAAACACATCAAATTGGGTTTGCAATCCAAAGTCTACTTTGCACACTCAAGTATTTTGTGTTCGCTGTCCCAGTAGGTTTAGGCATGAATGGCTATGGCTTGAGCTCTGACTGAGAAATGTACTTCAAAAGCACATTTATTCAGGACTCGAAAATAAGGTTCAGTTGTATCTGTGTTCTAAAATATCACTTTGAAAATTCAGTTGATAAAGTAAACACTCGTGCAAGCAAGGTAGCATTTCCATGTAACACAGTTTTGTTTTGGTTTTTTTTTTTGCTTTCCTAAGTGAGTCTCTAACTTACATTATGGGTAAATATATCTATCTGGAAAATATTTGTCTCAAACATTACTTCTTGTCAAGTTACAGAAGTGCAAATATCATCAGAAACCAAACCACAAAATAATGTTCTTATTGCACTCTTACAAGCTTACTTAAGACACAAATAGATTAGTTTTTTATTTGCCAGTCAGAAATGTGCCCTTGGTTTGAAAGCAGAGACCAAGTGTTGGGCGCAAAGACTGGAAAAATAAGGGCTGGGCCTTGCTCCTGTTGAAGTCATGCAGGTTCTGCTTTTGAGTTCAACAGAGGAGCACTGGGTCCTGTCTCCCTGAACACCAGGGCCTGACGGTGAACACTATCAGAAAAACCACGGAAGGTGAAAAGGATGTGAAAGTCCATCTGACAACAACGCAGAAAGTTTTTTCTAAGACACTTCTCTACACAAGTCCTCATTCAGCTACACAGTTTGTGATGTTAAATTTTTTCCATTAGCACAAACCACTTAAAACATTTCAAAAATATAGAAATACACATTTTAGAAAATGTGTATTTGTGCAAAAAGCTTGCTGGGAAAGAAGGAAAAGAGGAAAGGAGAGGTAAGGAGGAAGATGATGAAATTCTGCCATTCATCTACTAGAGATGACCAATAGGGGCATTCACAAATGCATGGCTGGGGATAAAGAGTAAAGCTTAGTGGACTGTCGTGCAGTGAAGATGTCATCTATGTTAATCAGGCTCTTTAATAAAAGATGGCTCAATAAATAATGAGCTGTTAACATGCGGCTACACAGGGTGAAGTGCTGAGTGAGAAGAGTCTGACTATCTTTACCATCAGTGGGAACATGAGTAAAAGCACAAAAATGGAGGATTGCCAACTGTGCAAAAGGAAGGAAAAAAGGGCTGAAAATGCTGAACTGAAGGAAAGTAAAGGTCATTAATTCAAAAAAATTAAAAAAAACTAACCAGATGTTGGGTCGCCAAATATTTTGTAATCTGGTGTAGCTGTAGTAGGCAAAATTTCTAAAAGAATTAAAGGAACAAGTAATCAGTAAAAAGTAACAAAAAAGAAAGCAAAAGATCTCAAACCTGAGTAATGGAAAATAGAAACTAAAATATTACTGGTTACAAAAAATAAGTTCTTCAATACTGTGCTGCAGACCCCAAATAGTTGTAAACTGGTGAAGGAAAGACAAAACTCTGCCACCCAGGACCAAAAAGCTCAGCTTTGTGAACAGTCACAGTAACACCAGGTGATGTGTTCATCGTGTTACTGAAAAGCTCATCATAAATTTAACATCCATAGTGAGGTGTGGCCACAGACTACTGTTGCGACATTCGAAACGCGCAGCACTGACTATGCCTTACCGTGGCAGTCCCCAAGCTGCGCTGTGTTGCCGTATTCGACATCTTGTACATATCCTCCGCTGCTGTGGTTGTATGAAACAAACAAAGAGAACCTGCAATTAACAGTATTAGTAGGGAAACAAAAGGTGATTTTTTTTTTTTTTTTCCCCTGGAAGCAGCAAATGGAAACGTATACAAGAGCTAGTGTGTGGCCCAAAACAAATTGTTTTACAATATGCACAGCTTAGTTATAAACGGGCTTTAAAATGCTATAGACATGATTATGCCAGGAAATAGAAAAATAATAATAAAAAAAAAAATCCCTTTTTTCAGCAACTTCATCATGTCTTCTATATTGGGCGTGCTCTTGGTTTTAGACACAACTGCCCAATTATACCAGTTAAAGTGGCCTGCTACAAAGGCCTCTTTAAGATACAGCTGCTAATGCACTGTATATTACAGACTTGATTTGTGCAAAATGCCTTTGGCATGCATATCTACCACCCAAGCTCCAGCGAGGAGGCACAATCTTTCTCTTTTCCCACCGTGACTCCTGTACTTTCATATTTGCAATTGACTGTGCCCTGGCTGTGAGCACGACTGGGAGGGGACACCGTGCACTGTCCCCTCTGAGCGGCTCAGGTTTGCAGGCAGGCATTTCTTGCCTTCCTGCTGCCAACTGCTCTTCCTACAGGTCTGCTTGTCCTCCCACACACGTAAAATCCCCCTGAAAGCCAAGTCTTCACCTAGAGATGGCGGAATTAGGTCAGACTTGAGCATGCTGTTCTCTTACCATCCCTAAAAAAATGGAGCTTTCTTAATTGAGTGCAAAGGAACAGGCATCGGATATAAGGTCACGTGGTCTTTAAGCATATGTAGAGATGCAGGGCTGATTTGAGAAGCAGTACTTACAGCATGCCTGGTGTCACTCTTCCGCATGCCTCGTGGTCTAACCAGCCACAGTACGGGTCCCGTGAAGCAATACATGCCCTTGCAAGAGAAAAACCCCAAAAAAATCATGCATTTTTTTTTACTTCCTTCCCAAGAGATGGTGGTGCCCTTCCTTTAAGGGGGGGTTCAGGAACGGGGCCGTACTTTTTACATGACCCATGACGCTCACACCGACTCAGAGGAATTCTAATGACGCAGCTGGAGAATGCCACGAAGAGAGCATGGTGGTCTCTATCCAGCTGAAGGGAAATGACTCTTCTGTCCTCCTCGCTCTCAGCACTGCACCTGTTCAGCACAAATAATGGGAGGCCATTATTTTAGTAACTGTAGTACTTCATGCAGCGCTTACACTGCAAACATTTCATTTATTTACTGCCTGTGTAGATATTGAAAAGAGACTTTTTACATATATAAATTTAACTTACTAGTCTTTGCTGAGTGATTTCTAAACAAACCTATGGGTTATCAAATGCCAGCTTCTGGCTCTTATTTACAGCTAGGTGACAATTTCACTGAACAATGTAGGAAAAAATCCAAATCCATTTTCTTTGTTCTCTCAGTCGGCATAAATATCTCGACAGAGCAGAACAGGAGTCCTGTATTGGACGCCTGTAGAGTCTAATTGGAATGCTTCCCTTCCAATATTCTTTGCACCAGAATAAACAGGTTTAAAATGATTAGATGTAGTTTATGTATTATTGGTCACTCTTGAGAAACCCTCCAGATAAGCTCACATCATTTCTTTCTAACAGCAGCAGGTAGTTCTGACGTTTCATATTCAGGAAGAAGTGTATCTATTTGCGGAAGAATTAGACTGGATCACTGACGTCACTGGAGTGGAATTAGGTTGCTCACTCGACCAGTGCAAAATGGCAAGTGACCAAATATTTTCAGGTTATTCAACATGAGGAACACTGTGAAATGACAGACAAGTGGTGATGTTGGTGATAATGAATTGGTTTTCGTTTACCATAATTTTCGTTAGCCAGGTACCAAGGACTAGATGAAGGGCTTAGGTGTTCTAGTGGTACTTACTTTGCATGATTATATGCTTCAATCTCTTCCAGTAATACACTGTCATTCAGAGAGTAAGGCCTGGTCTTTGCCAAGATTTTAAGTACTACTCCTGCTTCGGAGCCAACAAATATGACTGTGTAGTTCTGGTAGGGTCCAGCAGCGTGGTCTACAGCAATTGCTGTCAATCTGTATCTATCAAGACCAAAAGGTGTATCATTAACAGCGTGTTTGCTTGTTTGCATTTTCACATGCGTTATTTTTGAACGGTGTCATACCTGACACGTGTTTTGGTAAACCAGGGCTCCTCAATGACTGAGGGAACAGCTGAATCCATCAGAGGATGAGATTTGATGAAGGAGAGTGTTTCGTCTGGGAAATCAATGGAGGTTTTGTAAGCCTCTGCTAGGCCGTGTTTTGCACAGCAGCCAGGTCTGGAAGGAGAACAACATTGTTTTCCTCTTGGTATTTTAGTTAATGAGAGAAGGCAGCCTGCTAATGAGCATCCTTATGGCTGAAGTGTAAAGCTCTGCTTTGGTTTTTACCCGACAAGACACTCAGGAGTGCAGCTGATTTAAGGCAGCTCTTTAGAAGGACAATATTATGGCATCATGAGTAAGAACCTTTTACCTTGGCTTTGGTACTTTGTCTTCAGGTACAGCTGTCCAAACAGAGTCAGGAGTCTTTTGTTCTTTAAATCTCCCTTTGAAGACTTTCTCAATGTCATCCATGCTGAAAGCACACACT